ATGACCAGCTAAGCCGAGAGGTGCCGAGCGAGTCCAGTCCTAAGGCGCTATAGGTGGCACACTGCTTTCCAACTCCCGTACGAGCCTCGGCCACGGGAAAAACAAAACATGGATTTATTTTGTGGGGGTGCGGGGGCCATACTTGGCCTCTTTCGAAGCTTTCGCCGTGCATTGAAAATAGCACTCCTAGAATTCGCGTTTGGCATTGAACTCTATGCAAATTTACGGCGGCAGCTTTTTGGCATTTTGGGGGCTATATATCGGCGTCCCGAGCCCCAGTGTTATTTTTTTCACGGAGCCTCGCCATTGGAACGTTGCAAAACGTCGGCAGCTGTTACGCCGCAGAGAATGAGGTCATGAAGAGCCGGCCGGTGGGCGTTTCCTGATTAATCTGACAGACATTTAACATTTTACTGGCAAGGTCACGAACGAGAGAATTTCGTTCAGTCTTGTGTGATGATTCGTGTGACACAGCTCGGTTACGAACACAGACAGATGTTGTTTATAACAAGTTGAACAGCTTGTTCTTGAAAGAGAAACAAAAGATGGAAGCTGTTTGATGTGTATTCGGCTGTGAAAGTGTGAAAATCGAAGCGAGCGTTCGATGTCCGCATTTTGCGATCCCGCCCTCTTCCTGTAACTGCTATATATATGTGAAAGCCGTGCAACCAAGTGCACGTCGCCGAGAGCAATCGGCGGCGCCGGCAAGCGTATATGGTTGCACGTAGGATTTTGCGACAGAATTTACATGGAAACTTGTCGCTCAAATACGGTGAAAGAGAGTATAGAAACATGTTAAGAATTTGTTAGTAAATTAGATTTCGTATTTTAGTTGAGCATTAGATATTTTATTGAAACGCCTTCAAGTTGGCCTGTGTGGCGTTGTGCCTGTGTAGTACCAAACACGAGGTCTGTGAAGCCGAGTACTGGCGGCCAGTCAGTAATGCACGCTCAAGGATAGAGAGGCATGGTTTGCTGAGAGCAAAGCGATGTGTTACGGTACATAGTTCTCATCTCGGCCATGCCCTCGTCTATGCCTTTGTATCCGTAAATCCAGTATGGGTCGTGTTGCTCGTATCAGGCTACTACAGATATGTAACGAGGTAAGTTTTACGGTTGTTTTAGTTTTATGTGTTTATATTTTATATATGATGGTATGTTTAGATTAGGGTAAGGTTAGGGTTAGGGTTAGGGTTGAGGTTAGTTGTTAGCTAGCCAACTGTCGGCAGATAATAGCGTGAAAGAGAGTATTAGAAACATTAAGAATTTTGTAGGTACTGACTACTGAGTATTAGAGTTCTGATATAATTTAGCATTATATTTTATTGAAACGCTTCAAGTGCCTGTGCTGTACTGTAGTGATCTGATAGTGAATACGACAACGACCCCTTGAGGCAGTCTCCAGTAGTTGGCTCATAGGGTCTAGATGTCCCAGCGGTACTGCCGGACGTACCTGGTACGGTCCGGTATAACCGGAACGTACCCAGGTAACGTATTTGATATGGTTAGGGTTGAGGCGTACGCGTTAGCGGTCAGGGTTGGTAGGTTAGGAGTAGGCCGTAAGGCGAGTTTCGATTGTGTTTTTTTTTCCCTAGACTCGTTAGTGGAGTAGGCGAGGTACGGTCCGGCATCAATTAGATAGTACCAAGGTACGGTTCCGGCAGTACCCTGGGGGACATAGACCGCTCTTCAGCCCCAGCAGTACTAGTATACTATTAGTAATGTAGTAATAGTTACGCGTAGCCTCAAGAAACCGTATCTAGCTAGGGGTTAGAATACCAGTATGTAAGACAATCCGCGGCACAGCCTGGTCGGGCTTACCTCTACGGTACTACTGCCCGCAGGATGGCGCTGCCTGGCGGCAGCGTATTCCTGCGGGCTATAGTTACTAGACGCTAGGTCGGCTATGCTATACTATAGTTATCACGTTACAGTGTCAGACAGTAATACTAATACTAATATTTACTAATACTAGTAGTAGCTAATAGCTATCTATAAATACGCGCATACTATATTACACATCTATGGTTAACTATAAGCGAATACGAGCCTGTTTCTTTGGCTGTAGCGAAAGCCACATAACAGAATAGAACCGAAGACTTGCCTGGACCTGGACATTCTTTGGAATTCGACAATAACAGAATATAGAACTTCAACACGGCACTGCAGGACATTGACAGTTTTGGCAGCGCCTAGACTTATGGCGTTGATAAATGTGATTGGCAGCGATTTACAAAAGTTGCTCTTTATAATAAAAAGAAAGCATTGTTCTCGACAGCAGTATTTATAAAAATAATTTGAATTTGGAGTCGCTTATTTATTATTTATTTGAATTAATTTACAAAGATTGCTATGATTATATAATAAACTCTTGATTGAAACTCTTGTGTACGAATGCCATGTACTTTTATTCGGCTGCATCGAGATCACGTGCATGAAACAAAATAACGTCAGATGGCGAGAGAAAGGTCAGTAGTTGTTTTTTTGTTTTTTTTTTTTTTTTTTTTTTTTTTTTTTTTTTTTTTTTTTTTTTTTCTTTTTTTTTTTTTTTATTTTTTTTTTTTTTTTTTTTTTGCTTTTTTTTTTTTTTTTTTTTTTTTTTTTTTTTTTTTTTTTTTTTTTTTTTTTTTTCTTTTTTTTGTTTTTTCTTTTCTTCATTCTTTACTTTGCTGATTATTTGGAGCCTCTCCAGCTGCATCTCAGTAATTCGCTACAGCACATGACCCACCAGAGCCACTACTCAGGCAATGTCATAGCATCCATTTGACGCTGACTGTGTAGGACTGCTGGGGAAACACTGTCAAAGGAAGTATGGAGCGTAAAGCTTGATAAACAAGATATGATAAACACTCACATCGATTGCGAGTGATTGCCATTGTGTTGACATTGACGCATTGATTATTCAACGGAGTTAGCGCATGCTAAGTAATGTTGTGGTGTAGTAGGTTATGATCAGATTATTCTACGCCTGCCATAGGGACACTCGTAGAACTATTGCTGCTTACGAGCCACACGCTGAGACGACACGTAGCTGAAGCTCTGCCATGGCCATAGAGCTTATGGGGGGGGGCCATTCCGCGTGCGAAATCACTTGAGCTGTGCAGGCACCGTAGCGGTATCACGAAGTGATGCACAGCATTTCATGTGTATCATAACTAATGCACAGACTTTCCGTATATCAAGGAATGATGCAAAAACTCTAAACCCTAACCCTAAACCCTGAACACACTTCGTGCATACCTCAGGTAAGGCTTATACTTTATGACTTAGGTTAGGTGTTTGGGGTTTTTGATCATTCCTTGCAATATACGACAGTCTGTGTATCAGCTGATGATACACAGAAATCTGTGCATCACGTCGTGATACCTAAGGGCTGCCTAAAGTGATTTTGCTCTGCCGTAATCCTAGATACTAATCAAGATTAAAGCATCAAGTTAAATGGATCAAGTTGCACTAGGTTGCTGCCTGCCTGACAGGATGCTGTGCAGTACAACGTCAATACAACCTACATGCTTTACATACAATTTACAATGCATCTTTCAATCCATGACGTTTCTTGGCAGCTAGTCTCTCACATCTGTGATCAGTGACTAGAATTTTCACAATTTAGTTGCTTCTATGGAGGAA